TTGATAATTTTATGAGGTAAACTCTTTTCAGGTAGTAATTCTATATTAGAAATGATTTTTTCTTCATTAATAATGGCATCTATGCTACTATCACTATTTTCTTCAGAAGATGATTCAGGATCACTGCTCTCAGATTTGGTATCATTATCTTCAGAGTCTGAAAAGGGTTGTTGGTTATCTTCATGGGGTTTAACCATCATGACATCTTTTTTATTCTTACTGAGTTTAGGGCATTTAGTAGATTTATGTCCTTTTTTGCCGCACTCATAACAGGTGACTTCCTTTTCTTTCTCTTTATCTTTGTCTTTACTAGGGTAGTCTTTATTAATTTTCTTGAAATCTTTGGAGTAATCTTTAGTAGTACTTTTATTATCTCTTTTGTATTTCTTTCTTTTAATATTAGCTATACTTTCTAGTTCATTGATAAATTGAGTCAAGTCATCATCATCATTTAAGGCAATTCTCATTTTGTAAGCAGTTTTGTCGTCCAATTGAGCCAATAATTTATCATTTATAGCAGCATTATCAATATTTCTTTCAATTGCTCTCAATCTGTTAACCTGAGTAGTAACCCATTCAGATGGTTCAATATCTCCTTTGATGTCAAATCTGTTCTTTCTGAAATTTTCTCTAACCTTTCTTTTCCATTCAGGCGTGCTGTATTTAGCTATTATTTCTTTCTTCCAGAAATTCCAATCTTTGACTCCATGAGTTTCTTTCTTCCTCTGATTGTACCATGTGTTAGCTGCTCCAGTTAAAATTGAATTCAATTTAGAACATATAAGTGGATCTGGTGCTTGTGTATCTTCCTTAAGATTATCAATCCATTCTATGAATTTATAGTGATCATACTCTCCCTTCCCTGAAAAGGTACTCCATTCATTAACTTTTGGCATTCCTGATAAAATTAATTTCTGAATAGTTTTATCTTGGTCCTCTGTTACGTGTGAATGGTGTACTTCAGTGTTAATTGATCTAACTGGGGTGTTAATTTTAGGATCACTGAAATTCATATTACTGGATTGCGTGTTTGATAAATTAAAGAAAGGATTTGTACTTATTTTATCTGGTATGGTAATTGATGAATTTACATGAGGTGGCATGTCCTTACCTTTGCCGTGAACAGTATGTTGAGATGTTAAATTCTGGCAACTGTTAGGCTCTTGGTTGATTTTAATTAATTCTTCAATTTTATTTTCTAATTTGATGAAGCTGGCGGAATTATTTTTATTGTTATTTAAATTATTTAATTCCATTCTGTTTACAACATCTTCAAAGCTTTTATATTGTGAATTAATTTTTTCAAGCGTGTCTTTTTGTAGTTTCTGGAAAGATTGTTCCATATTATTGAATTTATGGAGCATTTCTTTGTTATTATTTTGTATATCTTCCCATTTTTCTTCTACTCTGGTTACTACTCGAGTGGTCTGATCTCCTAATTTCTCAAGCATTTCTGGTATTTCTTTATGTAATAATTCAAGGCCAGTTTCCATGATCATAACTTTATCTCTGATGTAAGTAAAATTATCATCTTCTTCATCAGCTTTTTTATCACAGCTGCCCTCAATTTTACGGCATAATTTCTTCATATCAGTTGTAATTTTTCTGTTGTTTATCAAAGTATGTTATACTAAAAAATTTATGTTCTCAGTAAACATATTAACAGCTCTGCGCAGAGAAATTTTTATGGGTATATTTTCATGGGGAACTTGTGGCGTGGAATAATCACTAGACAATAATTTTGATTTCCTACTAGTAGAATCACTATCAGAACTATCAGGAAATTTTTCACGCGCAGGTGTAGGGGAAATATTCAAGGCTCCTCTTCCATGAAGCGGTGTTGGCGGTTGATTTTGCCTTTCTCCAAGTGTTGATAAGTCCCTTGAAGAGACCTCCCAAGGCGTACCATCTCTTCGTAGATTTGGCTGCGCCATTGAGTGTTCCTCCCCGTATTCCTTGGGTGTCTTGAATGGGTATTCCTCCCTCTGCGACTCAGGGGTCTCATTGATCCTTCTTGAAGGTCCGGCGCTTCTCGTGGTTGCAGGAGACTCTCCGCCGACACGTTTAATGGGTTCCAACCCTTGGTTCTTTTGAGGGTCGTCGTCATTCCTCTTAAGTCTATCATCGCTTGGAAATCCTCCCGGCAATACTTCAGGTGAGCTCTGATGGCCGAGTAACTGCTGCGGTTGCGCACATCCTTCAACCATTCCTTGTTGGTCTTCATCCTGTAATAATAGCGCTCGAATTTCTCTTCCTTGGGAACTGTTAGTAGGAGATGTTAGTTTCTTTTTAGAGGCGTAAATAATTTTATCTTTATTCTTTGGCAAGACTTACGCTGGTGGAAATCCTCTCTGGGATGATGGAGCGTCTCTGGTCCTTCCATTATAACCTCTAAGTCTAAGAGAAGGTGGAGACATGGTAAAAGAAAACAGGTCTTAGTAGGAAAATTTAACCTGGTAAAAATTGATAACAAAAAATATGTAGAGGTGTTAAATTTACCTGAGGATTTATCTGAGGCAACTACAGAGGCTTCTCTATTAGTTGTTTGAGGAGATTGGGCTCTATTGTCACGTGGCGTAGTGTTTTTGTCGTGTACTTCCAAGTTTTGGATGTTAGCGCTAAGGGTGCTGTTGACGGCGGACACTGTTACACAACCAATTTTTGAGCTTTTTCGGAAATTTTTTGTTCGAGAGATAAGTTCAGAAGCTAAGGAACACGCTCAACTTTTCAGAATGAAATATTTCAAAGTACTTCTGGTCGAAAACTTGAGAGGTCGGTGTTTGCTACTGAAACTGGGTGATGGAGTTGAGTGAGGATGGAAAGTAAGGCGGCGCTGGATACGTCTTATAAAGGCGATGAGTTCTGTATTTTGTTTGTCGATGTAGCTCAAATAATAAAGGAGCTACACTCTCTCAAAGATCAGGAAAGATCACTTTCGACGGTTTAGTAGGAGGGGTGATGTACTAGGCGGGAGTGGTAGTACGGCAGATCTGTATGTATGTAGATCCTTGCAGATCCTGGCAAATCCGGGGTGTATTGAGTTGTAACTGTGTAATACGGCCTGCAGAACCTTATGTACACGTGAGATAACTCTATTTTTAGACTTCGACCAGGTGTATTAGCCTTCGACCAGGTACTAATCCCTCGAGATGATGGGTAAATGAGGCTAGATCCGCTCACGCCGTAGGAATGGTAGACTTTCAAGGTTCAGGAAAAAAACCTAGTAGTGAAAACAGGGTACGGCGGATCGAATGGTCGACTCAGATTGTTTGTAACTGTTATGGTTCTCTCTCCGTGATGGTGTAAAGTGGCTCAGACTGAAAAAATAAGACTTTTTTGAAGGGACGCGGGCGTATTTTTAAGGGATTTTAATTTTTTCTGTGTGGATGAATCAAATGGAAATATAATGAAATATTTTTGTGATTTTTTGTGGTACGAGATGAGTAAAACAGATAGCGCAAGAATTTTATTTTTGTGTTTTTGTGGTGTTTTTATTTCTGATACTAAGAAAATGAGATGAGATGAGATAAAAACAAGTCTAATTTATTTCTAAATCCGTGAGGTCTATGATTATAGAGTTGGGTTGAGGCGGAGAACAAGCAGTAAAAGGTGGGAGAGAGTAGTAGCGGACTGTTCTAGACAAGATGTTAGTAGGAAGAGTTCTATATTTTGGGGTTTCTTCTAGCGCTGTAAAGAAGTTATTTCTATTGGTTTCTACGGTTTTTTCTACGATGGACACGTCCTCTTCTACAAGATTTATGAGTATGTAGTCAGGGGAATAGGTAGAATGAAGGGTACAATGATAGCGCTTAGTTTCTATGTAGTTCCAAAATCTATCTTCTGCTTCTGTTACTTTTATTTTTTTCTACTCTTTCAATAACTGTAATGTTATCCGGGTGGTTGTGGTAATATCTACTAGCTTCTTCTGCAATTGTACTGTCTATTTGTCTAATAAATGGCAAAACTTCCGGCATTTGTTCTTCAGAAGGCCATTGTTAGTAGTAAATGTTTTGGGGACAAAAGGTTAAGAGAAGCAAGGAGATATGTTAGTCACGGAATTCCAATTAGGCCAGACCCCCAATTGTCAGCCTCTGGGTAACTAACCTGAGTATTTAATAGTAAAAAGGTTGTTACTATGAGTTGACTGAAGTTTTTGAGCGTGGTGAGTGTTAGGTAGTGGGTGATTAATACCAGTCCTGTAAAGAGGAGGTTTCACTCTATCAGTATGGTCTTTACTGAGAGGCTTGCTATCAACAGCGCATCCGGATCAATACAAGGTATTAATAGGCATCCAGGGTACTAGGACTCACCTGGGATTGATTTGGTTATTCCCCAAAGGGAATGGGCTAACAATACTTATTAAGCTTTAACAAAATTAGTTGAAGATTAACAGGTATTGTTAATGGGAATATTCAGCAAGGCTATGAATACTGTGGATAAGTTGAGTAAGAGTACTGAAGCTTAAGAACAATAAATGTAGACAAGATTTATGTTGGTTACGGGTACTGTATCAATATAAATTTTAACTGGTTTAACTGGTGTCTGAATATTCTGGGGATTAATCAGTGAAAGAGGCACGGATTATAAGTTCCAGAATACTGAAGGGGGGAAAGAATGAGCGCTCAGAATCAAGGGAGCTTTGGCCAGGAGAATGAGCACATCAATTGAGTGACTGATCATTATTTGTCATGATCTGTAAGTGACATCATAATTGTGTACTAGTTGATCAATGTACTAGTTGCTCTTGATGCGTGCACTTGACAGATCCTCTAATAATGTAGTCATAATTGTGATCAGTGCATGTATTGAATGTATTAATTCTATTGACACTTAATACTTACTATTTAGTACATGTACATATTTATTTGTAATAATATTTGACCGTGAAAATACTGTAGCAGAGGGATAACTTGTGGTACAGGTATTTCACGGACAAGGGAGTGAAAGGTAAGTGATAATTACTTATGTAGAACACAGGTATGTATTTAATAGATAAGTAATTAACAGACAAGATAACTGTAAGATAAATAAGATAAGTTAATAATAAAGATAAGATAACAAGAGGTAAAGGTAATCAACATTATGGATAAGTACTTATGTACATAAGTACAGGTGTTGCAGTTACTTGGTATATGAAAGGTACTGTGACATGTACTCTGTGGCTGACAACACTGGACTGAGATCTTGTCGGGAGGGCTAGTTAATGGGAGAGCCCCCTTGCTGGTAGGAAGTTTTGGCGGTTTGGGAACTCTTGCAGCAGTGCGGGCGGCCCGTTGGGTGGGGTAGGGTTGGATGGCCGACATCCGTGCTGTGCGGGCCATCAGATATGGGTTGCTCCTGGATATTTCAGGGGCGGTAATGGCTGGTAATCCTGAACATCAGATGAAGTCACGGAGAGGGTGGTTAGTTGTTGTAGGATCACATTATTGGTAAACAAAGTCACACACACCTGGATTGCTGGCACTGGGTGGAGGAAAGTGTGTTTGTTGCGGAAGCAAAGTGGGTGCAGGAGGCTGACTGAGGGGGCTGGGAATGACCGGGGTGGATGTTGGATGGGAATACAACCCTCGAGCACGTTGGATTGCCTCTTGACGTTTAGATTGGATCAGTTGGTGTGCTGACGTTGGTTGAGAATTGGGTGTCGGGGAAATCATAGACGAGGGAGCGGTTGTCTTGCTTGCGGCACGATCGACACAGGCTTGACAGCATCCCAATAAAACCAGTTGCCCTGGTTTCCCACACTGCGAACAAAACATGTTTGACCCTTGGGCAAGATAAAGGATAAGTTGGGGGGTGACTTTGGGGCGATGAAATCAATGAGACTTACTTTGGGAGTGTGTGTGGATGGTGGGTGGATGCCAGGCCCTGGTGCTCTTTGATGGTATTGGCAGGTGGGGAATGGCCGATACTTGGATGAAAAAATTATTTGTGGGCGATGTGTGGGTCTGGGTCTGGGTGATTGTATGGATGTACTCAAATACATGGTTAGATGTTGGTGGAAGGTTGCCATCACACATTGAGACTGTACACTTGTATTCTTCTGGCTGAAATGTTGTTTCGTAGGCACCTGTTTTTTGGCTATGAACTTTTTTGGCTAATGTGGATCTTCAGTGCCATGCATGGCGGCTCAGGGGCAATGATGGCGGCTCAGGGGCGTGAGTGGCCAACATGGCAGTTCAGATCATTTTTTAATTTGGCCACTCTGGCAGTACAGGAGCAATATTTGGCGGTTACTTGGCCAAAGTGGCGGTATATCACCATATTTTGATTTTTTTTGGCTATTGTGGCACGTCAGTGCCTCCATACTTTTGCCTGTAGTGTTTGAGTAGCATAAATTTCCAATTTGTATTCTTTACTAGCTCTCATTTGGTTGCAGTAAGTCAGACAGTCCTTGGCATCTGTTCATCAACAAAAATATCAATCTTCCAGCATTAAAACATCCAGTCTAATTTTGTTTTGTGGTTACAATACACCATTGCAACGGACAATAGCAGAGATAATCCGACCAATAATCCGTGTTCACCGTTGAGCCTGGCCATCCAGCCAACCTTGTGCATTGGGTACGTTTTGATAAAAATTTTCTCTTGGCTATAGCTTATGGGTAGAATCTATTTAGATTTTGTGATCTCTCCTGGCTCGCGTTTGGTTCAAGTAGCTCAGACAGTCTGTCTTCCCATCCGGACGCCAAGGAGATCCTGGAGAGGATGTCTGAAGAACCCACTTGGGTTGTTTGCCTTTTTCTTTTCTCATGTAAACAGTGCTTGTTTCTTTTTCAGGCTGATTTGCACTGGTGCATTTCTTAATCAGATTTTTGTACATTTTTTGTTGTTGTTGTAAATGACCACTCATATGATTCAGTGTGTCATTCACAATGCATATCATTTCACTATTTCATTCACTGTGTGATTATTGTGCGATGAGTATCCTTTGGCTAGCTGGTGGATGTGCATAAGACATTTTTTTATGCCAAAAAAATGGCACAATGCCATCTGGGTGACGGCTCAGAGATGCCACATTCCAAAATCCTGCAGATGGAAATTCTTTGAGGAGACAGCCCTGAAACACCTCCAGGATAGCAGTGGGATGAATTGGGGGGACATCACGTGGATGCTCCACAAGGACGTCCCAGAGATGGCCTTTTATTTGTGGAGGAGCACGCCCCTGGGATGCTCTGGTATGTGGGGGCTGCTGTCCTGGGGCCGTCCCCCTGGACCCTGCCCCTGGGACGTCCAACTGCACTGGTGGTGTATATTACCCAGAGAAGGGTTTCAAAAAATAAAGATGCACATAGCTGTACAGTGGGTAGACAGCATGAAAGGTGGCTGCTTATTTTGGGTTCCAGATCTCCAAAAACACACACTTGAAGTCATGAGACTTGGCCGTCAAGTAGAGTGCAGAATATAAGGTCCCAAAAATGAATATGAAAAAATAAAAACAACAAACAAATTTCCAAAATTTGTGAAAAATAGAGTTATAAAACATTTTTTTCAAAAGCTTTAAATGATCCTCATTTTGAGGGAGTGGGGGTGCTGAGAGAAAGAATGATTGGGACATCAGCAATACATAGGACCATCTCTCAACAGTCCTGGGAGTATCTTCCCAATTCCCCTAAGGCATTCATCTTTTTTTGTTGTGTTAGCTGTTTTCCTTCATCTGCTTCCTCCCTGTTTCTCATATTTCACAGTCTGTGACACCTGTCTGTGTAGTTACCTCAGACCAGCGAGGTGGATGAATGGTGTCCTCATCATTCCATTCATCCATCATTGCTGGACCCAGGTAAGTCCTTTTCTTTTTGTCTCTTTTCTCTTTCTTTTCTCTCAGTCTGTTTTCTCTTCTCTGATGAAATGAATCCTTCCATTCATCCATCATTGCAAGACCCAGTTGGCTGCAACATTTTTTTTGTTGCCCTCTTGGCAAGTAGGCCATCACTCCCAGCATAATCAGCTGGTTTGTGAGCATCCTAGTTTAACTGGGATATACTCAACCAATTTAAACTTGGTGGGTTTCCAACCAATGAAATACAAATCCAAGACCTTGGATTTATATTTCATTGGTTGAGGTTCAACCAAGTTTTAATTGGTTGAGTGAATCCCAGCTTAACTCAGATACCCACAACATAGCTAATTATTCTGGCATTGCATTGACCTACTTGGCAAGAGGCAAAACTGTTTTTTGGATTTGTGACCCCATTGGGGTCTCATGATGAGCAAGCAAGTCGCTGTCCCATGACTCATGAGAACCCCACACACCATGATAATTTTTCCTCAAGTTGACTTGAAAACCAGCATTAGTTTGCAATTTGACTTGAAAACCAGCATCAGTTTTCAAGACAACTTGGAAACACTCATCTGGTTCAGAAGGCCATCAATTCATCTTTAGAACCATTTTTGTGTTTTGGAGACAAATCAAAAACAACCCAAAATCCCTTGGGGTGCACCTGTGGTGTACTTGATTGAAGAAGCTGAGAGATTGTGCAAGAACAAACAAGAAAAAAAAATTGAAGATTCATTAAATCCTATTTGATTAGAAATAAAATTCTTCAAAAAGGAAATACTAATAACTAGATAAAATGAACAGCTTTCTCAAAAATTTTATCTGCTGTGGTAAAATTGTATAAACCTGATATCTGATATTTGAATGATACTGTTTTTTATTTTTTTGGAATAAGATTCAAATCTAATATCTCTTCTTTTTTTCCAAAATGTTCATCAAGTGCTTTGATATTATCTGAGGATTCATCAACTACATTTGGACGGAGATCATCATACACTTTCTGCAATGCTATGTCAACTTCATCCAATATAACCCCCATTTTTTCATTTCCTGATTGAAAATTATCCAACAGAAGTTGATCTTTAACAAAGAGAATCATGGTTTTGATACCATCATTTTTTTCACAAGTCAGAACCTCAATATTTTGAACCAAAAATTACCATTTGATTGCTGGAAGAAAACTTACTTTTTCTCATCATTGAATTTAGCCTAGGTTTTTCATTTGAATTTTCAGCTATATCATTTACAAGTTCCCAAACAGTTAGAATTTGTTGAGTTTTTATTGTGGGTATGGGGGAGGATTGATGAAGCATTTCCAGAGTTAGACTTTGATGGTGGAAAAATTTTGATTGCTTAATTTACCAAGGAAAACAATGGAGGACTTCCCGTTGTCTAAATTTGTAAATTTACAAGGACTGGCTAAACCTTGTTGGCTGGTGAAAATCGTTTGACCTCAAGATTTCACCAGCAAACAAAGTTTAGCCGGTCTGTCTAAATTAAGCCATCTGGTCAACGGGAAGTCCTCCAATGGCTCCTTTCTTTATAATTCTGATAAAATCAAATAAAACTCTTGAGGAATGTAGACATACATTTGGAAGATCCTTCCACCTTCTTTTGGAGGAGTTGAAGTTGAGTGCCCACGTCAAAACCTTCAATTTCTCTTTTCACCAGGATATTTTGATATAAATTTCCATGTGCTGATAAGAAATATAAATTTAAGAGATGAAAAGCACATAAAATACTGAATAATTGCATGGCTAGGGTTTGCTTGATATTATTATTTGCTAGTTGAAATCAGCAGCAATGGATTATGAAAGCAGGAGATGATTGAGAAAATCCAGGCAGACAATGAGTATTTATAACCCAGATCTACCCACCCATTTGTGTGGTGAGAGCAAAGTGCAAGCATGCCAAGACTGCTGTTTTTGTTTCCTCAAAAACAGTATGGCAAGTCTATAACCAACTCAGCTGTATTTTTGTTCAAATCATGTATAATTGTGCTCTTTTCTGAGCCTAGGAAAGATATCTTCAGTCTGTACAGCCTGCATAAAGTTAGTTTTAAAATTTATGCTCAAGTAGTTTCCTTTTTAACCCCACATGTAACAAATTTTATTAGAAGGAAAATTAAAACATTTTCAAAAATTTTAGGTGTAAATTTTCTTTGATCATCCCCTCAAATCTGTCAAATCCAATTTTACTACAGTTTTGAAGCTTCAGAAGCTGGATCAAAGGGGTTATATCCACAGGGAGCTTAATCATTTCAAATTCATGTCACAGGGCATATCATATATTCTTATTTAGGAAAATCATGATTCATGGGGGATTGTATCATTTCCTATGGTGGGATTTTTGCCAGTTCATTTTTTACAGATTTCAAATTTGTTTTTTGTTATTATTTTTTGTATTCATTCTTGGAAGCCTGTTATGAATAATTTTACAAATACCAATGAATTTAAGTGGGTGGGTTGAGTTTCTAGATTCTAAAACACTGTGGTCAAAAATTCTGTCTCAGTCTATCCACTGTACAATTTACAAGGCCCAACCATTTGTTTGCTTGAGAATGGATTTCATATGATGATAATTCAAATTTTATCAATTCCCTGAATTTTTCTTGAAGTGATGAAAAAGCTAATTGCAAAATTTAAATAAAAAACATTCACTTTTTTCAGGGGAAAAAAACAGCATAGGGCCCATCTATGAAGAAAAGAGAAAGTTGATGATAAAGGAAAAATAGAGATGGTCAAAGAAAATTAATGTGGATTGGCAGATCAAAAAATAGCTAGGAATAACACAACTTCTATATATGGATATATAGAATGAATCATAAAAGACAAATAATTATGTGCAACTTTTTTCAAGAACTATAAACATCAAACAATAATTTAACAAAAAAGAACTCTGAAAGCTTTTGTTCTGTATTTGAGAGTTGCAAAATGGGTTGGAGATAGAGTAAGTAAATTTCAGCTCATGATGATTATTTTTATAATTTATCATTTATGTTGGGATAGCCTTGTCTCATCTATCCTGCTTAGGATTGAAATTTGGTGATTTTTGGCTCAAATTTGAGGTGTGCCAGGTGGGTTGAACTGTTGGTAGAAAACTTTTATGGATAAATTAAGGTATTTTAATCAAAAGTTATGATGATGCTTGGGCTGATCAGAAAAAAAGAATGGGATAGGGGGTTGATGAATGGTGGGATGAAGGTTGTCCGTCCTTCGACAAAAAATGTTTTACACTGTCCGTCTACCTTATACTTCATGCTTCGGTTGAATTACTTGTGGTGCTGGAATAGGCTGGGATGGTAACTGAGTTGCCTAGCGAGGTACTAGGATTGGTTGAAGTCATGTGTTCACTTTGAGGAATCGATCCTGACGTGGCTTGCATCGGTATACTCTCTTCATAAATATTTGCTCGCCTACCAACGCCTTCCTCTGTAGATGCTATGCTGTTTCCTGCTCGTGGAAGTTCAACTTCTTGGCCAGTCGTCCACACCGTGATTGATTTGATGGGGCCGACGTAGTGAGCTCGACCATAGAGGAACCAAGATACCGCCGCGAGTAAAGCAACTAAAGGAATCGAAGCACTCGAAACGGCTCGAGCAGCTACAAGTGGTTAAACAACACAAACCAAAGGATCAGCATAAGTTGAATCTGGTATGTGCTGTGCAGAGCAGAGCTGGTAGAAACAGATTCGGGCTTTGGTCCCGAAATTCTCACTCACGGAATTGTGGTCCCACTGCCCTTGGTTCTGTCGGGCAACCACCTAGGACCATCTGCATCAATAGAGTGATCAAGGCCAACCAGGCCAATGGGCGACTCCATTCTTGAAGCGTCCAGAAGTTACGCCCGTCACGATATAGAACATCTTTGTCACACATGAGATAAAGAACGATAGGTATGAGATAACACATCTGCATCCCGGTCAACCCCCAGTCAACACGAAATAAATATATCAGTTTTTTTAAGTTGATCCCAAATCATCCACACAAGAAAAGACTTACCAAAGACAGGTACGAATCGGATCTTTCGATGAATGATGTGACGTGTGTTTGAGATACTCCAAGAAAGCACGAGGCCAAGATTGTCAAAGTGACGAGAAGGATCGTGGCCCTTCGTGGCATTTGACTCTTGCTGAGCTTACGCCACAGAGTAGCGAACGGAAAGGCATTGTCTCTTGCCAAGGCCCAAACAAAACGAGTAGAGGCGAATAGTTGAGATATTTGTTGGATCCAAGTGATGACCAATAGACAGCTGAATATACAAGCTGATACTCGTCGAGAACAATGCGCTGATACCAAGCTTAGCATGGCCGGTTGATTGAATATATTCGCCTCTGAAAAAGACTGGTCATCCAACAGAACAAATTTATGGTTCAATTTCCAATCTTATCAGTCCCATCCATATATTGAGAATTAAAGAAAAATGTCAGCACGATGGGAGATAGGAACCTACCATATAAAAGGAAATCTGAACAACAAGTACGTTGATGTAGTTGATCACTGTAGCAAAAAACATCGCTCTAGGAACAACGAGTTCAGCCTGGTGTGTTTCTTCAGCCATATGAGCCGAATTTTCGGCGCCTGCAGCAGCCAGAATACTGGCGCCTAGCATGAAAGCGATTCCGTTACTTTTGAATTGACTCTGGTTTTCGAGACGGGTGAAGATCATTATGGGACTCTGGTGAAAGTTGGAGCTAGAAAGTAACAAGATGCAGATCGTTGCACTGATGCAGGCAGTCAGAGCCGCGAAACTGATCCAAAGTCGTGGCGAGCGCGAAACCGGCAAGAGCATAAACGTCCCAGTAACAATCAGGTTCACACAAGATATCATGTATAGATGCCAGTTTTTGGCCGTCCAATATGGGAAGACTAGTCTGATTAACTTCTGGACGATCAGAGCTGGGATCAAGATGTCAGTGAGTTCGCCATCTCATAAGCAGTATTGAATCGAGCACCAATAATGAAGCCTCACCAAGCTGCCAGGAATCCTCCACTGAAACACAAAAAAAAAACAATTGATAACCAATCAGATCCGGTTGAAAAGGGTCTTATGAATTTGAATGAAAGGATTAATTCACGGGTTTCTTACTTTGAAAAATTATGTGAGAAACAAATAGATACATCGCTACCGTCCAAGAGAGAAAGTTGGCCCAATTTTTTGTTTTCACGTTTGAATGAGCCAGCTTGAATGTCCTACGGGGAAGAGTTTTTTTTTTTTTAATAAGTCTCCAGTTGCCCTTTATTTGCAAAATACTTTTTTCCCTCTCACCACGTAAACATTGCCCCTGCGGCGGGATAAGCTGAGGCAAGCTCGGCTAAAACCTTACGAATCGTAAGAAATAATGGCATGGGACATCAGTTGGAGCTCATAAGGTTATTTAAAATTCGGGCCGCTTATCCTACCATATACTGAATTAGCATAATGATTCCTATCAAAATTGTTCCCCAAAACATTGTAACAGGTCCTCCGAGAATATAAATAGTTTGATACGCCCAAAAAGTACCCTGAGTTGCGCCTGAAGATGAGAGAAGGTGAAGAACTCAAGTGAATCGTCAGTCAAGGAAACGATGAATGGCGCAGGGTATCAAAAACTTACCCAGGTTGACGTAAGAGAGAGAAAAAGAGGACCAGAAACCCCAATTTCGTGAAAGTTCCTGCCGGTATCCCAACCATGCCAATCTTAAACTTGTTTCTTCAGCAGTCGGGGGCCGAGTCCTATACCTAGGGATGAAGAAGTTCGGCATGAGGGCGGTAGAATTGGCGCTTGCTTGGATCGACATTCCGCCGGATCCCGAGGTCATCATCGCGGGTGGTTGGTTGTGCTCAAGTAATCCATTTGGTATATTTCGCTGAATCATGATACCGAACCACCATCAATGCGAAAAAAATACACGTGCAAAGCTTCTCCTTCCTCCTTCCGAGACCACAAGACTTCAAACGTTCAGATCAATGCTTATCTTTTTTTGATTTATATGATTAAAAAGTGCTTGATTGTTTGCCCGATCGCGTGTTGAGGATAACTAGGCCCGATTGTTGTATTTTTTTGTTTCGTTTGTGGTTAAGACACGAATAAAGTATGGGGAAGAGAAGATGGATGCGGCATTACTTGGTAAGTAGTTATTATTTAGATGCTCGGACTCCTCAAAGTTTTTCCTCCAGTTAACCCCAGCTGATTCCATGTTGAGTACGGATTGTTGATTGATTTCAAAACGCCTCTGAAATTTTATAAGTTAAGAACATTGGTGCCACACTTCAGCCATGCGTTGGTACCACCAAAAACCTGTACAATTGACTTTCGACTGCAGATCCTAATGTACAGACACTTTTGTTCTCTGACTTGCTTGGTTGGCTTGAAGCCCCTGATTGAAATCAATTTCTGAGCATTCATTAACCAATATCACTCAACAAGGCGTACTTCTCTTTGTATTTTTGCTTCGTAGAATTGGGGACTGTCGAGAGTTTACAGAGTCAAGCCCTTTGATTCTTTTTTTAAATAGACAACTTGCGAGCTAGGTTTTGTTCAAATCCCGGCATGATCTCGGATCACCCAACCCAACTCATGCCTCGGCAAACCAATAACGACACTCGGTATCCTTTCGATCTCCGAATCCGTTGTTCTGGAAAGTCCCGTTTGACCACACATGTGGTTCGAAAATAACGATGGGGGGGGGATGCCAGCAGTATCTTCTAGACCAGTGGTCCAGGGTCAGAGCAAAGAAAAAATAACTGATCTCGTTGGGTCTGCAGTCCACATTTATGCAGGAGAGTGTAGGTTTGTCGTATCGTGTACACATGTACACCTTCAGTCGTACACCAAGAAACAGACATGTATGCATGTTCCAATACTGTTATAGGCTTTGTGGAAGGTTTTGGCTCCAAATTATGTAGAAAAACGAACCGGAAGCAAAGGTTAAAAGGGAACCAGAAATAAGGACAATGAAATCAAAGGCACACGCAACCCTATAATTCGAAGGTCAATTGTTCCAATCATTTCAATTGTGATCCTAAATTCCAGATAAGTGCACAGATGATTGTGAGAGCTTCTTGATGAAGAAGTCTTTCATTCTGACTGGATAGTTCGGGAAAGAGAGTTCATGACTTCAAACCTGGAATCAGAATGTTTCCAAACGAACTTATTAGTGGATTTCATGTGGGATAAACATTTCTTGTATTGATTCTGGCCAAAACAACGACGGTGATTGCGAGATTATATATCGGGGACATGGAGCGAGCTGACACTTTTATAAATGTGGTGGAATATGGGTAATGGTACTCCACTCTACACCATGGAATGTCATCCTCATTTACATCAATCGACCTCAACCGGTCGGTTTGTCATAAAGTCAATGGCCTGAGCTGGCTGGAGGCGAGCTAACTCCATGGTTCTCTGCTCTGAAAGAAACCGCGGTTGGGAGTGAGTGTGTATGTATGTCCGACTTTTCTGAATCTCTGGGGCTTTTGATCCGGTAAATCCCGCGATCGGAGTACCGACTTGGGTTCTTTTTGCCTTGAACTGGATCTAGAATGCAGTAAATTGTTTTGCTCAATATATGCCGAATCCGATGAGCTGCCGGGTGCAACAACACCATCGGCTTCGCTCTTTTTCTTGATAATCCGGGGTTTCTTCTCTTTTGTGATTTCCTCATACACTGCAATTCGAATGGTTTGGAGGGAATTTAGCGATTCTGCCCCAAGTTAACCAACTCCCTCCCGGCTCCTTTATTTTTCTTAGAGTGAAATTTGGCCTGTAGCATTGCGCACTATGAATATTTTGTATCGAGTAAAATTCAAGGTTATCGGACAACTTGTTGGGCAAGAGCTGTGTAAAATGGTACGCGGTAAAATGGCAACATGAGAGAAGGAAATAGAAAAAAAGGAACAGCACAAGGAAACTAGAGACTGAGATGTAGGCAATATTGAGAAGGAGTAAACGGCTTCCAGATGAAAGAAAATCGCTTCGAGTCCGCAATGAAGTTCCCGGCTCCTTGTGCGGAGTGGTAAGTACCCACTTTTCGCATTGCGCCGACCTGAAGGTGGATTTCTGTTATCAACCTGGCGCTAGTGGATCAATAAACACTGGATCTTGAGCATTTGAAGAAGTACCCTTCAATTCCAGTCTGGAGCGGAGATTGATATAGTCACAAGCCATGACTCATGAGGAACCAATTCGCCATTTCCAGAAGTCATCATCCAACTTTTCAGTTCATGTTGAGGAGAGATTTGGCGGTTTGATAGCTGCGGCAGAAGCTGCGCCAGTGGGGACTGACAGTATTGTGACAGCCTGCGGGACAGAGAGGGGGACAGGTGCTGTGACATGGAAAGAGCCGCGTCCCTGTCTTTGGTCGTGTTCGTCGCGTGGCGCGCCAAAATTTCAACCCGAACAAGTCAGAAAACTTTGATTCGCTCGTACTCTCATATTTGGACGGCCGGCATACATACGCATTTCCCAAGCCAAGTGGACGAGATCTTGGAATGAGTCAGGCGGGGGCTTCAATTTGGGGACCGGATGAGGAGATCGATGACGAGGAAGCATACAATCAGGTCAGCTATTGAAGCCCAGTAGTTCGAAATATAACCCGATTTTTCAATTTCGAGGCCGTATCAGCTTGAAGTTGGTTGAGCCGAAAAATGTGGAATCAGTAACACTCATCTTGAGTAATTCTTTGATGTAGGACGCCCTGCGCAAAGATGCACTGATAATCGCGATTGAGGCGACGGAATCGATGTTAGCATGGGCGCCTAAAAGTAGGGAAGATGCATCAACAGGCGAACCAACTAAATTCAGTTGCTGCTTGCTAGAGACAATCAAAGTGGCCTATAAATTGATGAGGCAGAAGATCATCTCGAATCCGAAAGACAGCATCGCGCTGATGGTTTTCAATACGGTTCAGTCATGCTTCCCATCCATCCTGAATTATTCGCTTATTCCAGGCTGACCTACTGGGTGAGTACCATTTCCTAGGAAGTTGGCTCTGTGACAGGCACAGAAGTTTGGAAATCGTGCAACTTTTTACAAGATCTCCAACCCGTCGACGCCCCATCCATTAAGAAACTCAAAACATTAATTGAAAGTCAGTAGGTAAGCTTACAATAACAACTCGGATTTGTCCCTGTGCTCACTTTTTTTTCTGTAGAATGCGAGCGCGATCCAAAGGAAGTCAAGAGACTGTTTGCACCACAGACTGAGAACCCAAATGAGATCCCTCAGGCCCTGGCAGCATGTGCAAATCGATTTATGGAGCGGTATGTCCTTACCCGTTCTCTCCTTTTTATAATTAAAGAAAAGTGAACTCACCAGCCTTCCTGTTTATGTTAAAAAAAGCTGTGTCAAACTTGCTTCGAAGCGAATCCTATGGATCACAGATAATACTTCTCCCTTGTCATCTTCAAACACGGAACATGCTCAAAACATCACAGCGTCCACGTGGAGGTACCAAGTAAGGAGGAGAGGCAAAGAACGCACCGAAAATCGACCAAGCTAATCTGACAAGCTCCATGTATCTTGACATGCATATGTGCATTCTTTAGGACATAATCGAGATCAAGGTCAAATTCCAATTTGCTTTTTACAACGTTTCGACGCCATTTCGGGAGGGTGATTTCTACTGGGCTAGTTTACATATTCTCCAACTTCCTCCTTCCCATTCACTCAATTAATTGGTCTCCCCAGATATGCTGATCCAAAGTTTTAACCAACCAATAGAAACTTCTATCAACCCGGCCTAAAGCAGATGACAAATCTGGCAGCTCATCAAATCCAGCAGAGTCACTTACATCGCTCAACATGGACCTGAATGCATGGTCCGAGAAACTTTTGAAGGATGTCTCGACTCGTGATAATGCTAAAAGGAGTGCCTTTAAAATACCTTTCAAAATCGGCGAAGGAATGGAAATCGGCATCAATGGCTTTGTGTTGATAGTCGAACAAAAGAGGAAAGCACCCATTCTGGTGGACCCACATACAAGTTCTAATGAACAAGTCAAAGTTGTCACCGAATATTTGGACGCAGTTAAGATCTTTCAGAATTGCACATGTCTTTTTGATATCTGACTTATGCATCACTCTAACAAATCACGCTTATACCTCCTTGCGGAACCCAAACCTGGACGATCGCAGGATTCGACAGCCGTGGTTGAGAAAAAAGATATCGTCAACTACTTTCCAATCGGGGATATGAAAGAAATAAAAACCTTTCGTAGGGTAATTTTTACTAATGAAGAGATCGAAAAAATGCGCACTGTCGGCTTAGAAAAAGGCAAGTTTGGTGGATTGTCCATTTTTGAACTTCCATCTCGACCCACCGATACGTATCTAACGCTGGTTTCAAAAATAAAAATGGAAATATACGTAGGCTTGACACTTCTCGGCTTCCGACCCAGAGATGAGCTTTTATGGGCGTATCATGTGAAGCATGCATATTACATCTACCCAAACGAAGATGTAAGTTAACTGTCTCGCCAAAGTAATCCAACGAGCTGACTTATCTGTATCGTTTTCGACACCAAAGACATTTGTGGGCTCTACAAGAGCGTTTTCTGCCTTGCTTCACTCTATGGCTAAGAAGAACAAGATTGGGTATGGTTTGTTGCGGTCACGGAAGAATGACACGCCGACGCTCGTCGCGATTTTACCACAAGTTGAGCGAAAACAACACACGATACCAATGCTTGCTAATTGTTCGCTAATGGAATTCCTATCGTTTTAGCTGGAAGATTTCGATGAGGCGTCCAACACACAAATGGAACCCCCTGGGATGCATTTATGTGTACTGCCCTGGGCCGATGATCTCAATCCGCCTCCTACAGTCAATCAACTGGATTGTTTGAAACGTTTGTTTTACTCTGGTATTCCCCTCCGAACTTCATTTTTTCATTGCCTTACATTTTACTTTAAAATTGCGAGAAGAGGACGAAAGCAGCAATCACATTACCGAACTTGCAGAAAAGATTGTCCGAAAGGTGAGCCAACCTTGATCCTTGGCTCACCAATCACTTTGGATCAAAGCGCTGATGACGTTTTCTCTTCCTGCCAAATCCTGTGAAAAGTTAAGAGTAGATTACGCAGGTAACAAAATTCATAATCCCGCGCTTCAGCATCATTATGACTTTTTGGCAGCTAAATATCTCAACGAAAAATTCGAACCTGCTGAGGACGAGTCATTGCCGTGGTATCCATCTATCAAAGAGGTTAGCCATCGGCCTCTCTCTCCCGAAAAGTTCATTTTAACTTGCATCGACCTCAATGCCTTAGGCCAAGTGCAGATTTTTTGCTAATGACGTCCTTTGATAGCGCTGTGGGCCTTTAATCAAAGAATTGATAGAGGAGATCGATCTTGATCCGCGGGCAGCAGACAGCGTGATTCCAGCATCATCCATAACTAAAAAACGACGTCGAATCGAAGACGGAGAGGGTGTTGATGTTGAGGTAGTTGAATCGGCATTTGCTTCCGGCAAAGAGAAAACGGTGAGTGCCAAATCCAAACTACCTCTTCCATCCTTTTTTCACATTTCTTGTTCCCAAAAGGAGAGCAAACGGAAATCAAAACGCAATACAAGCTCATTTTTTGAATTGTGGCAAAAATAATAGTTGACCGTGATACTGCTAAAGGAGTACTTGATATTCAAGAAAGAATTGTCGCTCGCTGTGAAGGCTCCATTAAAAGCTGAGTTGCTCGATATGACCCGAAAATTTCTAGCCAAGCAACAAAACAAATCTGCATCTGGATCTACAAGTACTGGCACATCTAGGAAAAAGAAAACGTGAACTATTTCTGCTTAACAGAGCCCTAAATCAGCTTATGACGTTTTTGTTTTATAACTTTTGTCAAATTACAAAAACTCTAAACCTTGATAGTGTCTGATATGGGCCTAGCAGAAAAACTAATAGGCTCCAACGCACAAATCTTATTTCTGTCCCATTGAATAGTAGTGTCCTGTGCTATAAATTCCTGGATAATTGCCATACATAATGTAGATCAATCAGGACTCAAAATGTTCAAATTGCTTGAAATGGTTTGAAATCTTTGATAAATAGACACAAAAACTATTTATGAAATATTACTCTACGTATGTGTGCATTGGCCTCAATTGTTTGGTTGTATTTGGTTATAGTTTTGATTGTGACAGCTGCATCAGGGAGGAGGATGTCAATTATGCCAAGGATTTTGAATTGAATTTGTGCTCTATCTTTCTTTGACTGGTCCTTTGCCACATCCTATGAAAAACTCATATGATAGTCTGTTCTAAGTTTTAACATGAATTTACTGAAAGTTGATCTTCCCCACAGTAGATGTTCCAAAATCATTTTTTTATTTTCCTGTCTAGTCCATACACCAAACATCTTGCACTTACAACCCAATGAGAAATGCCCATCAGCTTCCAAATCCTACTGGCCTTGACTGAGCTGTGCCAATAGAAAATCCAATCCCTCCCCACTGAACATTGTAAGTATGTTCAACCCCAATCCTTCTGATGGGCATGGGAGTTTGTCAGCAGTGGCAAGAGCAAGAGCATAACTCTTCTGGCTACAAGCCAATATTTGGTGGGCTATGATTCAACAAGGATGGTAATGAATTTAGAAAGGGGAAGAGGAATTAGACAGCCGGGGGTGTTTGAGATGCACTCAATAGGAATTCTTTCTCAAACAAAGATACAAGTATAAAAGCAGGTAGAGAGATAAATGATGGGGCCTGAGTTCCTGGAGCTGGTTCAACCAGTGTCAGCTTGTTGAGGACAAATCTTAATCTACAGGCCAGCAAAATTTGTACAATTTCACCATGGGAAAATTTCTCATCAGAAAGCTAGACCAAATTTTACAAGGCCAATGGGAAAGACTGCTCCTTGACAACCCAGTACACTTAGTGGGATTCAACTTTGGAAAGCCAATACACCTCCTACAACCTTACCTGGGAATAGTCACCCTCTATGTACTTGTTACAGAACTTTCCCAGTTTATGGGGACTCTGCCCAGACATGCTTCTCATGTTTTTTCATAAGACAGGGTTGTTGGCCAGGCTCTACTGTTCTTTTCCAGTAGACTTGTTGTGTAAACAAGTACACAACGGGTGACTACTTCCGGGTGGGTTGGTGCAAGGTATATTGCCTTTCCAAGGTTGAATCCCACCAAGTTTGCCGGGTTGGCAAGGAGCAGCCAGGCTTGCATGAGTGCTCACCATCAAGGAGTATCATTCAGGAAAATTATCTCCCCTTGATTGACATGCTTTCTGGGAATAACTCCCTTTTGACAAGCATGGTGGCCATCCAAATTTGCTGCTTGACCAGCCCTGACAAGCAGATTTGACACCTGCTTACCAGGGAGGGTTGGCCTGCTTGGAAGAGAACAATTCTTGAAGCAACAAGCTAAGTGATTAATCGAGTATTCATGAAGCATTCTAATAGCTAAGCGCTGAAGACCCTGCTTATCACAGATACCAACTGCTACTACAAAAATTTTGCGAAATAGAAACCACACAACTCCAAACAAATGAAAATGAAAGAGGAAAAACCAAAGAGGACAGAAGGAAGACAATAGAAATTATACAGACAGCCCAAGATGAGACGAGAGAACAGACTTATGAACTTTTAAGGAATTTGCAGGCACAGATTACTAAGAAAATTGGTCAATTTGATGAATTTGAAGGAGAAACGCTGATGACAGGGGATTTGGAGCTTCGACGAGACAGGGTGATAGAGCGAAGACGAGAGGCAGAGAAAAACTTAGGAGAGGATTGTTTAGGGTGCTTGGCTCTGACGATCATCTTTCTGAATACTTTGTTTGCTTTAGAGAGCACGGTCATCTCTTGCTCGATTTCAATCTCATCGTCGTCGTCGTCTTCAAAGACCGATGGGAGAATATCGAATTGACAAGGGGGGCACACGGGGGCTACCCTCTTAGGCATCAAGTACATGGAGAAATCGTCGAGTGAGTAAACATTTCCTGCAGACATCCTATTGCAATATAAAGACAAATGTAGAAGAACAAGGTTTGCTAAACAAAACAAGGATGGATGGGGGTGAGGGGAAGAGTGGTTAGTGTTTTTGGGTTGTTTTAGAACAATGGGGGAATATTTAGAAACTGGGGTGTGGTCAAATGGTCTGAGGCGGATGGAGGGAGGACGAGATTGGCAAACAGGTCTGGTTTTATAGGCATGGGAGATGAAGCTCC